ATAGTATTCCAATGTGTGGATGTACCAAAATGTATTTAACTGGTCCTTTACTGAAGGGCGTTTAAATTGTTACTCATTTTTGCTATTATAAACACTGCTTCAGTAAATACCTTGTTCATTTTGTACATGTTTATGGGTACAAACCTGGAAGTAGATTTGTTGGGTTAAAGAATACATACTTTTTGAAAGATAATGCCAGATTGCCACCAGGGGTGAATCACTTCTTACATACCTACCAGCAATATATGAATGTGACATTTTCCCTATCTCCTAGGCATAGTAACAGAGGTATTTACTAGAGATTTGACAATTTAAATATCTCAAGCTTATTTTTTAAAACTACATACATAGAGTAGTATTGCAAATAAATAAAACATTATTACACATTTTTTACACTTTGTACACCCAATAAATGTTTATTGATTAATTCAGGGGAGGTGGATTTTATCTGTGGAAGTTTGCTCATTCACTTGTTAACTAAATTCCAAAGAGTCTTTAATTCTTAAATAGAGTAGAGTGCTACTGAGAAAGAAGAACCCACTACCTATTACAGATCATTTGAATAGTTTATTGAAGTATAACAAAATGCACGGGTGTTAAGTACATAGTTTGATGAGTTTTTACTTGTGTACATAACTGTGTAATCACTACATATAGGAATCCAAAATTAGAACATTTCTGGTACCCCTGAAAGGTTCTCTGATGCCCTCTCTAATCTATCCCATGCTGATAGGTAATCACCATTCTAATTTTTATCCTCATAGATGAGTTTTCCCATCTTGAAATGTGATCATATGGCATAGTCTTGTCTAGCTTCTTTCACTTACCATGACACAGACAATGTTGAGATTTATTTATGCTATAGTTTGTAGCAGTAATTTGTTTTTTAATGCTGTGTAGTATTACATTATGAATATACCACATTCTATACATTATTTTACCCATGTTTCATTGGATACAAGCTCTTATTTCTAAGATAGGATTACTGGATCATTGGCTTTGTGCATATTAGCTTTAGAAGATCTGCTTAGAAATACATGAGCTTTCGTAGAAATAAAGTAGTTTTCCAGAATGTTTTTACCAGTTTATACTCCCACTCAGGTAAAATTGTTTTTCTACCAGATAAACAATGTCTGAAATGGCATGCCTTATATTTCATGCTTGTAGTTTCTTTAGCTTAAGTCTTTGATCATTGTTAAAAATTACTCCATGGGAAATAGCATTTTATCAGTCATTTATTCTCTTTAGCACTTGCGTTTCACAGCCCTTCATAGAATCACAGAATTTAAGAGTTGGAAGGAAGCTTTTGAAGGTCATGTAGTCCAATCCTCACATTTTACACATGAGGAAATTGAAACCCAGGAGGATAAAGTGACTTTCCCAGTGTTAAGGAGCTAGTTACTGACTCAGTTGGGTAAAGTAGATATTAACCCACAAAATAAACCATTACTCAAACATTACTAAGACTCCTTAGCCCCATTATGTATACGGATGGGACTATATTTTTTTTTGTTGAACAAAGATTTTCTGGGGAGATACAAAGAAGATTCATTCATTCAACATATATTCTATGTGCCAAATAGAATGTTTCTAGAAGTTAGCTAGAGCAGTGAAAAAAAACTGACAAAACCTTGCCTTCATATTCTAATAGGAGTGAAAATACAACAAATAAGATAAAATTTCTTCTTTCTTACATACTGATAAATAGTATGGAGTGAGTAAAGGTAGGAAAGGGTCCTAAGGAATATACAAGTGAGGGGGGGAATTAGGGATGCCCTCAATGGGGTGATTTTGAGAAAGGATTTGAAAATGAAGGGTGAGTAAGCTTTAGGGGATGTTACAGGTTTGTGGAATGGCAAGTTCAAAAACCCTGAGATGGGAACATGCCTTTTGTGTTTTAGGAACAAGTACGTCACTGTTTAGATCAGTGTGAGGTGATTTTGATCAGAGAGGTGATGCAAGCCAAGATCATGGAAATTCTTTAAGGTCACAATAAGAATTTAAGCCTTAATATGTATAAAATGGAAAGAAGACCTTGAGCAGAAAAATGATAGGATATAACTTTTATATCCTATAGGATTTCTCGGGCTCCTGTATTAAGAATAGGTCAGGGTGGAATAAGGATGGAAGTAAGTTAGATGGCTGTTATAATAATTCAAGGCATGCTTGGGTCCAGAAAAGTGGAGGAAGTGAGATATGGTCAAAACCTGAAGGTTGAGCGAACAAGATTTGCTATGAGATGTAGGGCATGATAAGAGGGGAGTCAGATAAAATTCTCAAGGATTTTTACCTGAACACTTGGAAGGCTAAAACGTTATAAATAGGAAGCTTTCTAAAATTAAAATCAATTTTCTTTCTCTTTATCCTACTTGCTGCCCTAAAGCTAGCCCCCTAATAGAGAAACAAGGTCTGTTATTTTCTGCATTTTCCTTCCTGTCCTCTTATTTCCCCAGCTGTCTCAACTTAGAACCTTGTAGGAAGAGAGTTACACTTCAGAAAAATGTGTTTGCTTTGACATTTAAACAAGCCTCCATTTTGTTTTTCCATATTAGAATTTTTCCTCTTCCCCTCTCCCATTTCTAGCACTGCCAGACCGGTTGTCTTTTCAGCTCATTCATTATTGCTATGGTTTGCAGATTATACTAGAGGAAGAAGACAGATTTATAAACATGTGTTCCTGCCCAGCTGTTTCAAGAGAGTGGGACTAACATCCATCTTCTAATTGTATGCCTGCTCTCTATGTACAGCTGTGCTCATCTGCCCCCTCTCTAAATCTTACCTTGTCTCAAAATAAATGGGCTCTGTTTCTATTCCAGTTGGTTATGCAGTAATGGCAGCAACCCATCATTGGGAGGAGCCATCCATTTAAATTCACTTTGCTAATAGCCGAGTACTTACGGAGGCTAGCCATTTCCCTTATGATGCCAGAGCCCTGGAAAGGAATCCTGTTCTTTTTTCCTCTGGATGCCCCACTGCAATCTTGCATGTATCTGTCTAGACAAAGGGGGCCTCCCTTTGGCACAAGGGGTTAAGTCAGCACTGTCAAGCTATCCCCAGCCACTACAGCACGAGTTCAATCCCCAGCCAGGAAGCTAACCCACATGGCACAGCAGACCTTTCCTATCTCAACCGCTGCTCCCCTCAACAGTGTATTTCAGTCAGTCTGCCTGTTCTGCTCCCCACTCTGTCTCTGGTGAATCCTCTCACCCCCCACACCTCTGGCCTATGCCCCAGCTCTTGTATGCATAAATAAAATAAATCTTTTTTTAAAAAAAAAAAAAAAGATAAAGACAAAGGGACATTTTAAAGAAATTGTGTAAAAAGAATCAGAATGAATTAGAAGTAGCTATTAATATCTTCAAGATCTGACCACTAATAAAGTGAGGCCTTTGGCAAATTACTTAACCTTTCTGGGCTTTCATTTCCTTATTTGCAAAGTAGTGTAGCAATCCCTATATAGCAGGACTGTTGGGGGGGATTGTGCTTTCTCATTAAGGCCTGCCCTGTTCAAAAAATTATTTAATATGGCTATGAATATTCAATAAGATAATGAGTATGAAATCACCTACACATAATAGATGTTCAGCAAATTTTGAATAAAATCCAGTTGACTAAACCAAAGTTCTTTGCTAACCTAATTTTATTAGATTGAGACTTTCTGGTAGAATAATCCTTTTTTATTTCAACTCCTTTGATATGGTTTTATGATAAAGCATTTTAAAATCTGACTCCAGAGAGAATAGGGGCTAAATAAAATCTTATTTAAAACCAAACATTCGGGACGCAAATCCTGATAACAAATGGTTTAGTTTTTTTTTTTTAATATACATTTTTACATCATTGTTCATTTTTAAACAGTTTGCTTCCCCCCACCCACGTAGTCCCCATAGTTTCCTTCACCAGTGCACCCGTGCATCATCACCAGTCCCCTGTTTTCCACCCTCCCTCCCTCTGATCCTTCTTCTTCCTCCTCCCCTGCAGGATGTCTCTGGTTTATAATTGTCTGTTTGTCACTAGAATATAGCTAGTGTAGTAAGCAGAGAAAGGAAATAGACATACAGATCAGAAAGGAAGAAATACATCTATATTTATTTGCACATTACATAATTGTCTATACAGAAAATTCCAACAAATCTACAAGAAACTTCAAGAACTAATAAATGTGTTCGGTTAATGTGGCAGAATATAAGATAAACTGAGAAAAATCAATTCTTTGTTTATAAACTAGCTATAAAAACATGGACACCAAAATGTAAAATATACCATTTACAAAAGCTGGGGGTGGGGGCAGGGAGATGCTTGTTGTAAAGCTAACAAAACAGCTATAATTTTTTGAGGACCTTTATTTTTTTGTTTGCATGTTGGGTAATTTATTGACCCTTATGAGGTATTATTATCACCTCTTCACAGATAAGAGAACTAAAGTCTAGAGAGGATGAGTGATTACAGTCCGCAGATAGAAATCCCCTAACTCCAGTGTCTGTGTTCCTAACCATTACAGTGAACTGCTTCCCACTTGTAGTTCTTTAAAAATGCCTTTATTCTCTCATCTCTGAGCCTTTGCATATTTTTTGAAGGAAAAATAAGCCTACCATCCCTTAAGCCTCCTTCATCTTCCCCCCTTTTGACCTCTGGTAACCTCAGTTTAGTTATCAATGTCTACTAGTTTGTTTTTATTTTGCTTTGTCAGTTCATCTGCTTTTTATATTACCCATATATCTGAAACCATCCAGCATCTGTCTTTTTCTTTCTGGCTAACTTCCCATAATCCCCTCAAGTTCCTTCTATTTTGCTGCAAAAAGAAAAAAATTCATCTTTATAGCTCAGTAATATTCCAGTGTGTATGTGTATATATACATATTTATCCAGTCACCTATCCAGAGCACTCCCTAAAGCTTCCTTCAGATGCCAGAGTGATTGTTACTACACAAATGCAAAATACTCTTCTCAGTGGCCAGCAGGATTTCTGTTATCTACATCTGACTCTTCTTGTCTTCCAGGGATGTTGGTGGTGAATGTAACATGGAGGAACAAGACATACGTAGGCACACTTCTAGACTGCACACGGCATGATTGGGCACCCCCCAGGTAAGCACTATACAACTTTACAGCTTATATTAATCTGAACCACCCTAATTTTACAGTGATTCCTTATTCTTTTATTCTGCTAGAATTGGATAGCTTTTAAAAGATACCCAGCTTTTAAAGGACATTATGGCGTGTAGAGAAGCGAAGGCGCTATACTCATCTGACATTCAAGAAAAATAAATTAAGTATAAATGGGTTGGGTAGGAGCAGGGAAGAGAGCCTATTTGAGCCTTTGTCTGGACTTACTGAATTCTGGGTTCTTCTGATAGTCACTGTTAGACCAAAGCCACAGAATTTTACTTAGGGGGAACAAATACTCATTATGATGCTTTTTGATGCTGCCTCTCAGAAATTTAAATTTAAGAACATTTTTAGTTTTTTTAAGCTCCACTAGATGATGTGAATTTCACAGGGACCTTTCCCAGTTACAATTTGACCTTAAAATTGACATTTCAGTGAATGGCACTAAACAGCTTGTTCCTAATATTAGTATTCAGTTTGCCAGGGTTTGGGAAACCTAAATGTTAGGTTTAGGGAATAATTTGCAATTAGCATGCAGGTAGCATCCCTAGGAGTTTGTGGTTCCCAGACTTTCACACTTCCTTTAACAAATCATATTTATTGAAATTGATAGTTACCATCTGGTCAGTTCTTCTGGAGGTTATGGTTAAACGGGTTTGAAGATATTTTCTTAATAATAATCCTATTGTGTTTGTCCTTTACCAAGGTTCTGTGATTCCCCCACCAGTGACTTGGAAATGCGCAACGGTCGGGGTAGAGGCAAGCGCATGCGTCCCAACAGCAATACCCCTGTCACTGAGACAGCTGCAGCCTCTGACAGCAAAGGGACCGGCAGCAGCAGCAAAACCCGTGCAGGAGCCAACAGCAAAGGCCGTCGCGGCAGCCAAAATTCTTCAGAGCATCGCCCACCTGCAAGTAGCACCTCTGAGGATGTCAAGGCCAGCCCTTCCTCAGCTAATAAGAGGAAAAACAAACCCCTTTCGGACATGGAGCTGAATTCTAGCTCAGAGGACTCCAAAGGGAGCAAGCGTGTTCGTACGAATTCCATGGGTTCGGCCACTGGCCCCCTCCCTGCGACCAAGGTGGAACCCACTATGCTAGACAGAAATTGTCCCTCCCCTGTCCTTATTGACTGTCCCCACCCAAACTGTAACAAAAAGTACAAGCACATCAATGGACTTAAGTACCACCAGGCTCATGCCCACACAGATGATGATAGCAAGCCAGAAGCAGATGGAGACAGTGAGTATGGAGAAGAGCCCGCCCTCCATGCAGACCTTGGGAGCTGCAATGGTGCATCTGTCTCACAGAAAGGTTCCTTGTCCCCTGCCCGCTCAGCTACCCCCAAAGTTCGGCTCCTAGAGCCCCACAGCCCTTCTCCCTCAAGCAAATTCAGCACAAAAGGCCTCTGTAAGAAAAAGCTGAGTGGGGAAGGGGACACAGACCTTGGAGCCTTATCCAATGATGGCTCTGATGATGGACCCTCAGTAATGGATGAAACAAGCAACGATGCCTTTGATTCTTTGGAAAGGAAGTGTATGGAAAAAGAAAAGTGTAAAAAACCCTCTAGTTTGAAACCAGAAAAGATTCCTTCCAAAAGCCTAAAGTCAGCCCGGCCCATTGCCCCCGCCATACCCCCGCAGCAAATCTACACCTTCCAGACAGCCACCTTCACAGCAGCAAGCCCAGGATCCTCCTCGGGCTTGACCACCACGGTGGTTCAAGCCATGCCCAACAGTCCCCAACTCAAACCCATTCAGCCCAAGCCCACTGTGATGGGAGAGCCTTTCACAGTCAACCCTGCCTTGACACCAGCCAAGGACAAGAAGAAGAAAGACAAAAAAAAGAAGGAATCTTCAAAGGAACTTGAAAGTCCTCTGACCCCAGGGAAGGTGTGTCGAGCCGAAGAAGGCAAAAGCCCATTCAGGGAATCGTCAGGAGATGGGATGAAAATGGAGGGGCTCCTAAATGGCTCATCAGACCCCCACCAGAGCCGGCTGGCTAGCATCAAGGCTGAAGCCGACAAGATCTACAGTTTCACAGACAATGCCCCCAGCCCTTCCATTGGCGGCAGTAGTCGCCTGGAGAGCACTACCCCTACCCAGCCCATGACTCCCTTACACGTAGTGACCCAGAATGGAGCCGAAGCCAGCTCAGTCAAAACCAACAGCCCTGCGTACTCTGACATCTCTGATGCTGGGGAGGATGGGGAAGGCAAAGTGGACAGTGTCAAATCAAAGGACCCTGAGCAGTTGGTTAAGGAAGGAGCTAAGAAAACGCTTTTCCCCCCTCAGCCGCAGAGCAAAGACTCACCATATTATCAAGGCTTTGAGAGTTATTACTCTCCAAGTTACGCACAGTCCAGCCCAGGAGCTCTGAATCCCAGCAGCCAAGCAGGAGTGGAGAGCCAGGCCCTGAAGACAAAAAAAGATGAGGAGCCAGAGAGCATAGAGGGGAAAGTGAAGAATGACGTCTGTGAGGAAAAGAAAGCAGAGCTGAGCAGTTCCAGTCAGCAGCCCTCCGTCATCCAGCAACGTCCCAACATGTACATGCAGTCCCTGTACTACAACCAGTATGCCTACGTGCCCCCCTACGGCTACAGCGACCAGAGCTACCACACCCACCTCCTGAGCACAAACACGGCTTACCGGCAGCAGTATGAAGAGCAGCAGAAGCGGCAGAGCTTGGAGCAGCAGCCGCGGGGACTGGACAAGAAGGCAGAGTTGGGCCTGAAGGAGCGGGAGGCAGCACTCAAGGAAGAATGGAAGCAAAAGCCTTCTATTCCCCCAACTCTCACCAAGGCCCCCAGCCTCACAGACCTGGTCAAGTCAGGACCCGGCAAGGCCAAGGAACCAGGGGCAGACTCTGCCAAGTCAGTCATTATCCCCAAGTTAGATGACTCTTCCAAACTGCCCAGCCAGGCCCCAGAGGGACTGAAAGTGAAGCTGAGTGAGGCCAGCCATCTAGGCAAGGAGGCCTCTGAGGCTAAGACTGGTGCTGAGTGTGGCCGACAGGCGGAGGTGGATCCCATACTCTGGTACCGACAGGTAACGCTTTGGGCAGAAGTAGAAATGCTATTCGATAGTCTTTCTCCTTTCCCACAAATCAGGGCTCTCCTTTTGTAGAGGCTCAACAGACTGGAAATCTGTCATTTGAGAGATTCTTTACCTTTGTAAATCATTTCTTTGTTTTGTGAAAACCACTTTTATATCAGTCAAAAGTGTTCTTCCTGTTTGAAGAGAGGCCCAGACTGGTTACTTTGGACTGTCTAGGGTTACTTGAGCTGCGTTAGGAGAGCCAGAACTAGAAATAGGTATCCTGATTCCTAGTCTAGTATCTCTTCCACTGTTTGGGTTTTTTTGGAAGTTTTAATGGTGATCTCTTCATTTTGTGGCATATGCCACAAGTACACCGCTCAGACTGCGCCACTTTCAAAAAGATTTTATAGGTCAAGTTAGAACTAAGAACTTGGTCTCACCTCTTGCTCTGCCCAGGCGACGGAAAGTCTTCCCTTCCCTCTTAGAACCACCATTGCACCCCCTCCTTGGAGCTGAGCAACACTTACAGCTGCCTACCCAAGCTTGCTCTGAAGAAGATTAAAATGCTTATTCTCTCCTAGGGAAATCCATCACTTGATGGATTTTCCTTTTCTTTACCACATCTTGTTTCCTTTTTGGAGGGGAGGGGGGAGGCTTTTTAAGCAGGAGGGACCAGAGCTGATTGTAAATGAAGATCATTAGGGGCCAAGATCACACTCTGCCTGGGTGTCTCTTGTGTTTCTACTCTTGCGTCTCTTGTGTTGCTACTGTGTTTGGCCATGAAACCTCTGTCTCCTCTTCCCTCTCTCTCTCCTGTCTTCCTGCCCGCCCTCTCTCACTCACTCATCCTGTGATTGGTTATAGGAAGCAGAGCCCCGGATGTGGACGTACGTTTATCCTGCCAAGTACTCAGACATAAAGTCAGAGGATGAGCGGTGGAAAGAGGAGCGGGACCGCAAATTGAAGGAAGAAAGGATTCGGAGTAAGGACTCTGTCCCCAAGGAGGATGGGAAGGAAAGCACAAGTAGTGACTGCAAGCTGTCCACGTCCGAGGAATCCCGTCTCGGGAACAAGGAGCCCCGACCAAGTGTCCACGTGCCTGTGTCTTCTCCCCTCACCCAGCACCAGTCCTACATCCCCTACATGCACGGGTACTCCTACAGCCAGTCCTATGACCCCAGCCACCCCAGCTACCGGGGCATGCCTGCTGTGATGATGCAGAACTACCCAGGTACAGCCTCCTCATTCAGCTGTGCTCCATCCGCCAGGAAAGGGGGATGAAACACAGATTGCACATTCAGAGTTTTCTTGCTCAGCCCTAAGCTTATTGAGGATCAGGGTGACCACAGCCTTTTTTGAATGTGATGTTCTGTGAAGTAGTCACTCGAACCTCCAGCTCCTTGGATGACCCCAATTACAGTCCATGGGCCCACTCTCCCTCCCTTGCTCCCGCTACAGGTAAACTGACTCTCTAAAGTCAGTGTCGTGGATGATGAAAGGTAAGACCCCTCTCTACCCCTGCCATCATCCGCAACTGGGAATTTTTAAACCTGCTCCTCGTTTTGCTTTGGGATGTACTCGGCACTGTGTGGGATGCAAAAGAGGGAAGACTAGTTTCCTCCATTCAAGGAACTTGCAACGTAATGGTAGTAGGAGGCACATGGATCTAATTAAACTGAAACCGGAGAATGTGGGGATGCTTTTGCAAGATTGGGTTCAGGGCCTTCCTGGTGGCGCAGGGGTTAAAGCCAGCGCTATCAAGCTATTGGCAGCCACTTCAGCATGAGTCCTACCCCCTGGCCAGGGAGATACCCCTGACACATTGCGCAGCAGACCTCTCCCCACTCTGTGTCTGGTGAATCCTCTCACCCTCCACAGCTCTGGCCTGTACCCCAGTTCTTGTATGCATAAATAAAAGTAAATATTAAAAAAAAAAAAAGATTGGGTTCAGCTGTAAGGTCACAAGGCAGTGGAAGAGGAGAAGAGCAACTGGAACTCAGATCTGGGCCAAGTGCAGCTAGAAGAGTTTCAGCTTGGGGAGGTTAAGCTCTTTACCCATCCATATGTTCTTGGGGGAGGGACACAAACTAGGAGATTAAATGTTTTTTTTTTAACTGGTTAGAAGGAAACTCGCTTTCTGTTGCCTGAAGAGCACTTCTTTCCCTCAGTAGAGTTCCCAGCTCTCTACAGGTGAGCAGCCTAAATAGGCTCATTATTTGGGCAGAATATTGAAGACAAACTCTAAATAGAACAAGTAAGCTTTTCAAACAGAACTCGGTGGGAAATTGCCCATGCCCAACATGCAGTGTGCCTTGCTCACTGTGCCTTCCCCCAGCTTTCTGCTTAAATGCAGTTCCATTTGATCAGTGCCTGCTCTGGGCCACTATACTGGGTGATTAATGTACATTTTCTTATTTCATCCAACCCATTACCCTATACATTATAGGGTAATGTCTTCATTTTGATAGTGAAGAAACAAACTCAAAAAGGTGGTTAATTTGCTCAAGGTTGTCCAGCTGGTACGTCCCAGAGTAGGATTCGAGCCATGGCCATCGGCCTCCGTGCCTTCTGTTCTGTCCACTCTCCCTCATTACCTCTCTAAGAAGAATATCTAACATTGGGGATCTAGGGAAGTTGATTCCCCAGAAACTGAAAGCCATGTTTCTAGTATTCCTGTTAGTTTTGACTCCAGAGCTCAGTAAAGACAAACTCATAGTCTCAGCCTTCTGCAGACACTGGTAGAAAGTATCTCGGCCTCTGTCTAGGAGAGCTGATGGCCACCTAACCAAGGTCACCAATGCAGAGTGTCTTCTACCTCTCCCATCTCTTTGACTGCTTTTTTTCTCCTTCCCCAGGTTCCTACCTGCCCTCCAGCTACTCTTTCTCCCCATATGGCAGCAAGGTCTCAGGGGGTGAAGATGCCGACAAGGCACGAGCCAGCCCCAGTGTCAGTTGTAAATCCAGCTCAGAGTCCAAAGCCCTGGACATCTTACAGCAGCATGCCAGTCACTACAAGAGCAAGTCTCCCACGGTAAGGGAAGTGCAGTGACACCAGCTCTTTGTTGTCAAAGACCAGTAAGGCGCCAGATCCAGGGTCTGGGAGAAGCACAGTGCCACCTGGCTGCCACAGCACTGTCTCCACCCAGACCTCCCTGAATCTCAGGTGTCCTGCGTTGCTAAGGAGTCATAATGTGGGCTCTGGATATCTCATATCGTCTCCTTCTCTGTCTCGCCTCCCCTCCCACCACCCTGACAGAGAGACTCACAATAGTACTTTTGTGTCTGTTTTCCTTTCCAGATAAGTGAAAAGACTTCTCAGGAGAGAGATCGGGGAGGCTGTGGGGTGGTTGGGGGTGGTGGCAGCTGTAGCAGCGTCGGGAGTGCCAGCGGGGGAGAAAGGAGTGTAGATCGGCCACGTACCTCCCCGTCCCAGCGGCTGATGTCCACACACCACCACCACCACCACTTGGGATACTCATTGCTCCCAGCACAGTACAACTTACCTTATGCAGCAGGTAAGGCCCCTCGCCCCACTGCTCTCTTTACGTAGTCCTAGTAGCTTTGCTCACAGCACGGGCCTCCCCCCTACTTTTTTTTGAGCTTCTAATCTGCCTAGAGTCCTAGCCTCCTGCAGACAGTCGTTAAAACATATGACATTTATTTCCTCCCTTGGAGCTTGGGGACTCTCAAACTCCTCCAGAAAATTGGCTCTGATGTTGAGAAGAATACGGAACAGGTGTTCCCACAGCCAAAGAGAAACAAGCAGCTGAAAAATAGAGCCTTGCTCTCTATCCCCAGCCACTGTATCTGGCCATGGATGAGATTTTTTTCTGTCAGCACCCCAAAACTCAGAATTTAAGGGTACTCCTCTCTAGGGTCAGGAGGACACAGTGCAGGTTTTCTAATCCAGCAGAGCGGGTAAAGGAGGAGTCAGAGTCCTCAGTGGCTTTTTTGCAGGCTTTTATTGGGGTTTACCAGGTACACAGCAGGCAGGGGTACTGAGGGGCCGGGAGCCTGGCAGGCCTCCCGCCCCCAGCAAGTCTTCACTCTATCTGGGCTCTCCGGCGTTCTCTGCTTCTCTCTCGGCTTCTGCTACTTCTCTCTTGGCTTCTCTTTCGGCTTCTGCTGGCGTCCCCGTGACACCGCCCTTAAAAGCCCAGTCTCAGCCCAGGTGAATCCCATCTACCTAGGCCCACACCCTACTCCAGGTGCCCGCCATCAGGCATGCATTCAGGACCGCAAGGATCCATCATCTATCCTGATGGCGGGAGGGCAGAAAAGCCTGACATTTTTCCTTACCCTACATCTTCTCACACTCCACCCAGCTGGTACAGGGCATGCTTGATGGGAGGGTGGTGGGTGCACTGCTCTAACTATGTTTCTCCTTCTGGCTCAGGGCTTTCTTCTACAGCCATTGTTGCCAGCCAGCAAGGCTCCGCGCCCTCACTCTATCCACCACCCCGGAGGTGAGAATGGTAAGTAAGGTTTTCATTTGGGGCAACACATAGAACAGGGATAGTTGGTATCTGGGTCACAGAATCCCAGTGGAACTAGGTGAGGGAAAGCGATGTGGGTCAGTGGTCTCCAAGTGGTGGAACCCTCTTTACGGAACCCATGAAGCCACATGCTCCAAGGGACACAGATGTCCCCTAGTGACCTGCACTGCCCTCTCTTGCAGTTTGCTTTCTTGGAGCGCCATCTTGTGGTGGTTATACCAGCGGGCTGAGTGCCTAGTTACCTGTCCGTGTTTCCCTTGCAGAACACCAAGTGCCCGGATAAAGTCAGCTTCACGGGCCCGGACTGGCTCACCCAAGGAGGTGCTGGAGGTGCCATTTAGACATCAGTTAAATGGTGTTGATCATCCTGTTTGCCGTTTCCACCATGACCGAAGGCAGACCCTTGGCTATCTTGCCTCCACCAGACCCCTGGATTCCCCGACCTTCCCTCTTCCTAAGGAGCTGGAGAGCTGGTACTTAGCAAAAATATTTATTCTCTCGGCCACAGTTGTGACTGTTGTGGCCTCTGTGGAGATGAAGGCATGGGGAGCAACCAGGGAAACGTGGCCTCAGCCCAGAGAAGTCACTGCTCTGTTCCCCAAGCCCCTGTCAGCTGCCAGAGCAGTACCATTACCCCCGGGGAGGGCCCCCCCCCCCCCCCCCAAGCACTGGGTAAGGTCTGAAGACAGCACAGCAGCCATACCCCTCTCACCGTCATTGCCGCCATCACCAGACCCTGCATCTCTCCAGTGGTTTGGGCCCTGGGAACCGGGAGCACGTGGAGGAATTAGAATCTCAGGAAAGAAATTGGGGACTGTTTTCTCTGTAATTGTGAAAACAGGGTCTTCCGGCGTGAAGACTTCTCCCCTCTCACATGAGCACATAGAAATGCTCAGATCTTAGCCTGGAAGGGAAGACCAAGGCATTTGCCCCACCATGGTCTTGAGTAACCTGCCAGGCAGAGGGCAGGGGTCCCAATACCAGCACAGGGCTCCCCGGGAGCACCGGGAATGAGCTGGAGCTGGAGCGTGAATGGAGTCTGTGGAGTAGAACCTGCACCCCCACCAATTCCTGCTGCTCCTTAGTCACCAACTCCTTGCCCTTTCCTCTCTTCCCTCCTGACCCCTTGGTGCCTTTCCCAGGGGGAGCCCAACGCTCATCTCTCCTCTTGTTTTCCACTGCTTGGCTCTTCAGACTCGGGCAGGTAAAAGAGTATTCCGCCCCCCCCCCCCAGCACGGGGACCCTTGGTGTCTGCCAGGTCACCTTAGGGCAAAGTCCAGGAGGCAGAGCTAGGGGCACCTGGCAGTTCACAGAGAAGTCCTGTCTGTTCAGCCATCTGAGCATCCTCCTCATTTAGGGCCACAGACATACAATCCGGTTCCTCTCTACACAAGCCCGTGGTTTTTACATCGCTCCGCCCACAGCCTGTGTGTGCCAGTGTAAGCTGTGTTTCTTCGTGACACGGTTTTCAGGGGCCACTGATCATGGAGGTTTTATGGTCCTCAGATCCTGGGATGACACATCCAAGCCATTACTCCTCAGGCCTCTGCGCCTTGAGGCAGCAGACACTTCTCCGCTCTCCTTAGAGCAGCAGTCTCCTCGTCCAGGCTTTATGCTCTTTGTGCTGAGAAAGTGATGATTTGGTAGCTTTACTGGAGTCACTTCTTCCCCAAGGTACGGGGAGCTTTAACTCTTACTTTGCTTTTGGATCATCCCTTTGTTCTTCTCTCCTGTCTTCCCTTGACCTGAATTGGAAGATAAAGACTGACAGACACCAAGAGTTCAGAAAAGGCTGTCGGTGACCAGAGTGCCAAAGGTGACACTGAAGAGCAGAGGCTTGGTTTGGCGTGCAGGTGGAGGCCAGTAAGCACAATGTCTAGCTGGGGCGTTTCCAAGATCCTGGAACCCTTCTCCAGGGAGAATTTAAGGTCATTTGCTCAAGAGGAGCTTCTCTGACCCAGGTAGACTTTTTCTCTAGCTTTCCATGTCCTTGTTTCTGTTCAAGTTGGGTTCTGAGCCCTCTCACTTTTAGCCCTCTTAGCAGGCTTCCAGGCAGCCTCCCTCTCCCGTCATTCCCTCTGCTTCCTGCTCTCCCAGCAGGCAGTGCTCTGAGCAGTGACTTCCCTGTCATCCATGGAAGTAGTGGGTTAGGCACCTTCACCCCACCCGATCTGAGTGAGCCCCACGGAGAGGACGACTGAATTTCAGCGTGATTATGCCCTCCCAGGCTCCTGTAGGGTGGAGCCCAGGGCCCATCTCTGTTCCTGTTTGTTTTGAAATACCGTTGTGTGTTTTGTATCTGTGGTGCTGGCTTTCAGCACGCTCTGTATATATTGTAAAGAAACCATTCGGAGTACTTTTCTTTCCCATTGAGCAGGCATGGCCCTACATTCCTGCCCTTTCCACTTTGTTCTGTAACACAGAGAAGAGGAACTTGCATATTAGCAGGGCAGCCTTGGTTTCTGCAGAAGAGAACAGATTTTTCTTGTGTCTTAACACCTCCCCCCTTAAAAAACACATGGGTCTTTTTGATCTTAAATATTTAAGTCTCCATTGAAGAGTAGGAGCCAAGCTGCCCAGATGAGCAGGTGACAGCAACAATGGCAGAAGGGCACTGCCTTGTCCTGATACCTGAGCCTCTGGTCCCCAGCCCTCGCCAGGTCCACTTCCCTCCCAGAAATAAACGAAGCAGCAGCAGTGGAGGAAATAAAGATCTCTGATGAGTGCTGACTGAGGGACCTGCCGTCTCCCCCCGCCTCTCCACATAGGCGGGAGAACACAGGTGGGGTACCTGTGGCCCCCACAACCTGGTCAGAGAGGTGAGACAGCAAAGATTTCACTCCACCCCATGAGCTAAGGCTGGAAAAGTTGGGGGCTAGTGCCTGCCCGGGTCCCAGACCAGTGCTTTCTGAGCCATCCCTGCTCAGGTCTCTTCATAGGCATCACTCATTGGCGCCCGGGGAGAAGCGAGGGCAAGAACCTCGTCCCGGGCTGGCCAGCCAGGACTGGGGAGCTGCTCTTTAGGACTCACATCTGCTTCTTCCTCGTCAGGGCGTGCCAGCTCCCTTCATCCCCTTCCCCTGCCTGTACATGTGTGGGTACATGTATGAAACTTCCTTCTCTTCCCTCACCCTCTCCACATCTCTCAAGGTCAGAGGACCACATGCAGAAAAGCGGAGGGCACCTTGTGGAATGAAAGGGGGCTTCTTGAATCTTCTCTCCAGGCTGCACAGTGGGGGTAGGAGGGTAAGACTGAAGAAGGGCTAGAGAGAGAACTATATACAGGTTTGAGGTCACACATGTCACTTACTATCCCATGTATCCTATCACCATCCCAGTGTCTACTCTGATGCCCCCAAGATTCAACTGGGCAGCTAGTTGGCCCTGTCATTCTGGGCCTTTACCGTTTGTTTTATTACTAGGGCATCCCAGGGAGCTTTCCGATGATCCTCTGCCATGGGCCCCTCCCGGGATCAAGCCCTCCCAGGCCCCATCCCCAGCCCCTCCTGCCCCAGCCCACCCGCTTGCCTTGGTGCTCAGCCCCCCATTGGGAGCAGGTTGGGGCGAGTTGGAGGCCCGGGCTGGAGGGGCAGTGTTGCTGTTCTTAGCTTTTATACCTTTGGCGTTGCTCTGTTGGATTTAATTTCAGTCTTCCTTGATTCTTCCCTTCTGTAAAGTGTACATTACCAAGTTCCTTGTTTTTTTTATATATATATATAAATATATATATATACAAACTGTACTCTTTTTGCCTTTGTACATTCAGGCAAGAAGAGAAAATAAATCTTTTTAAGAGACAATCACAAATCTGTGAGGGCTGCTGGTTATTTCTCCTGGAGTTTGCTGCTGAGCTGCCTCCTCCTTCCTCCCCACTTTGCCCTTCTCCCTCAGCTTTCCTGATCTCCCTGGCCCTGCTCCATGTGCATCCTCAGCTCCTTCTTCCCTGGCTGATGGCAAGCTGTTGAATCCAGTGACAAACCACCTGCCCGGCAGTGTTTTCCAGCTTGGCCACTAGCTCACCCAGGAGTTTTATTCTGTACCCTGGCCCTTCCTCTTTCCACCCTTAGATCCCCCTTCACCGAAGTGGCTTGGACCCCTGGGTCCTCTGGGACCTGTCTCCCAAAGGCCCTGACTTTGGACGCTCACCTATAAAACTATGCAGCTGGGATCTCTGTGCCTAAGAGTTTGCACTACTTAAACCTGCCTGGGAGTTAGAACGGATGCTTTTTAGAAATGAGTGGGAAGCTATCCCCAAACACTCCCCTCAGATTCCAACCTCCAGAGTGCTCTTGTCCAGAGCCCCAAGAATCATTCCTGGCTGGTGGATTCCTGTGGCTACCCCCATCCGAATAAGGGCTAAGGGTTTATGGGTCAAGAGCATTTGTCAGAATTTCAAAGGGATGGTACATTCGGAAATACAGCCCGACCAAACCATTGTTCCTACTCTTTATTTTACTCTGATTTCCTCCCCACCTTTTCCCCCTTCTACTTCCTTTTCTTAATTGGCTTTGGAATTGAAGTATATTTTTAAATTATTTGTTGTATTTATTGAATAAAGTTTTTAATGTCCCTGTTCTTAAATTTAGACTTAGTTTTGCCTTTCACATTATCTCCCCTAACCTCCTCCCCCCCAGCCCCAGTACTCCACCTTCTAAGTTGCTTTTTTAATTGGAGCGCAGCTTTTGGGTACCATATTTCTTTCCTGTCAGTGGTCTTTCATCTAGAAAGGTTTTCCTTTTTGAAAGAGAAACCATGGGTCTCTGGGTTTTCTCTGGGATTCTGCTCTTCTAACTCGGCTGTTAGAAGAGGATCCACCAGCAGGTGGCAGCAGAATCTCATGTGTTTCCTGTCTATTCCAGTAGCTGTGGGGACAAGAAATACTGAGTTTTTGTCTTGGTTATTTTTATTTTTATTTTTTTTTAAATATGTGGCCAGTTTTCCCAGCACTATTTCTTTTTTTTTTTTTTAAGTTTTATTTATTTATTTATACAAGCACTGGGTACAGTCAGAAGCGTGGGAGGGTGAGAGAATTCTCCAGAGCCAGAGCAGGAAGCAGAACAGGCAGACAGACAGAAGACACTGCTGAGGGGAGCAGTGGGCGGCAGGAGAGGCCTGCGCGCCATATGGGACCCTCGCCGGTGGCCCGGGATTGAACCGGCACTGCAGAGGCTGCGAGCAGCTTCGCAGCCCAGCATTCAACTGCTGTGCCACCAGGGGAGGCCCTGTCTTGGTTCTTTATTGTGCCTATCTTGAGGATTCCCTGGGTTGTAGTTTAACATCTGAATCCTAAACTTGGCCACTGTCAGCATTCCTGTGAACCACTGTTGTAAATAGCTCCCTGTGGTCACCAATTTTCAGTCACTGCCTTTAGGCTGCCTCTGGTGTTACCTGCGCAGGGGAGGCCATCTTCAAGCCCTCCCTGTAGGCCCAGACCTCCTCCTAATACTGGTGGAGGAATGCACCTGACGGCACCCAAGGTTAATGACTTGGCCTAGGGTGAATGAAAACACAAGCTCCTCAGAGAACAACGTAAAAATGGGCCAAAAGGGCAGAGAAATTAAGATGAGCCACAGCTCAACAGCAGACAGTCCCAAAGCTGCAGGAGGTGGAAGAACATGCACAGTGTTTCACTGGGGGAAGCAGAAGCAAAAGGAACAAATGCTAGTAAGTCCGTAATTTTTTTTTTTTTTTTAAAAAGGTAAGTGAAGGCGATTCCTGCCCCTTTAAATGCTTCTGAGAGCTTATTTATCAGGCTCGTGGTGCAAGGGGAATGGCAGCCATGCCTTAGGGCACTGGACTCCAAAAGGAGAAAACTATCTTCCAAAGGAAGATGCAGCCTGTTTGTTTCGACCACCTCCAGGAATAGGACTGTCGGGCAGCTCCATGCAAAGGCCATACCTTTGCAGGACCAGCCTTCTAGACAAAAGGGAGAACTAAGAAGGGCCTGGACCCTGAGTACATATAGCCTCTATTTGGGATGAGGCTAATGTGTACGCTGGTCTCTAGGGGCTCTGCGCTCTGGCAGCATGTCCCAGGCTCCTAGCAACCCTATGTTTTATAGTATAATGTGGCCCCAGGGACCTCGGGCAGTTTAGATGCTCTCATGCACTGCAGCCTTTCTCCTGAGGAGGACATGTCACGCCCCCATGAGGTTAGACTCTAGACTCAAAAGACAGTAATGGCAGGAAGCTGGTCCTGGCACAGGAATAAATTACAGACCAACCACAACTTTAAATCAGTTTATTGACACAGTAACACAACACACTTGCCTCCCTGACACCCCCACCCCCCTCACCCAATCTAGATCTCTCCCCTTTCCTGCTGCTTAGGAGCTGTTCAATGAAAACAGAAAAGGGCAGGCCACTTCCACATGCCCAGCCCCATCCCCAGGCCCTGTGGAGCAGTATCTCAGGCACTACTCAGGGCTTGGTGGGAGCAGGAGGGAGCCAGCACTATACTCAGCCAGGCAGAGGTGCCCGGTCCCTAAGAACAGATTCCCCCACAGCCCCCAGGCCCTGAGTTGCTACTCTTCTTCCTCTCTGCTCTTTGTGACCCTAGGAAGGAGACATATTGGGACCTGGGCCTGCAGCCAACAGCAAGAACTCCTGGCTGTGATTTGATAGTTGGAGTTTGGCTAGTGTTTTTAAGGCCCAGGCACCCTCAAAAAAAGCCCTGGTGGTGGGAGTGAACTTCAATGTCCCTATTTAAAATGCATTGATAACATTAAACAGATTAAGCCAGCTTAACCAAATGCCAGAATAACACTAAGCCGTAAAGAAGGAGGGGTCAGACCTGCTTTCTCCAGGCCAGACACAAATGCACACAGAGAAGCCCGGGTGGAGTGTCAAAAAACAACTCAACGACACTGCCCAGGGGCTGAAAAGCCTATGGGGTGACAGGAAGCAAGGAAAGAAAATACACAAGTCTTAAAAACCAAAAAAGAAAGCCCAACAGCAGGGAACCTGAGCCTGACAGTGCTGCCCACCAGCCCTCCAGGCCTTGCCCTGGACCCAGACAGTCCCTCCCACTCTGGGCAACGTCCTCCCCTAGGCTAGATAGAGCACATCACACAGCGCAGTTTAAAAAGCTTCTAATGCCGGTTCATAAACATCTTCATTTACTATTGGTGATTACATGTGAATAATATGTTTATACTGTTCTTTATGGAAAACAATTTCAACGAGTCAACTCCAAGAACACAATAGGCAACCCTTACCCTGAGCCCCTCGGCATCCTTCCCTAGACAGCATGGAGCCCCCTCCTCTGTCCCAGGGCTGCCTAACCTCCCCTCTTCCCCCACCGCGACTCTTAGGCAAAGCATCCTCTATGACCACTAGTCCTCGTCGGACAAGTTCTGGTCCAGGGAGTAAACCATGAACATCACATCTGGCCGAGAGGGAACACAGGGATGGCCTGGACGCACAATCTCAAAGCCCAAGAAGCTGAAGGTCTTCAGGAGAGGAGCTGCAGGAGAGAAGAGGATAAAAAGGACTCGGATAAGAAACCCAAGGGTAGGCGCAACTCTAGGAAAAACCCAAGTAACGGTGGCATGAATAAATACGCACTAGGTCTTCAGTTAACAACCTTGAGACACTCCAGAAAAGGGCCAGGTTTGTGCAGCAAGCTCAGGAGCATCCCACCTGACTGTACAGGAACCCCATTTTCTCCTGAGTCCCCCACTCAGTCGGGGGGAGGAGGGAGCCCGAAAGGTCTCAGGCTGCCTTGACTCCTCACCTCTGTCTTCCCGGCCCTTCCTGAAGCAGATGAAGACGTAGTTCACTTTCATCTTCTCTTCAGCAAACTCTAGTAGTGCTAACAATCTGCAAGAAGCCAAGAAAACAACTCAGGCCCACCACCACCCACCTCCCTAGATTTCCCTTCCCCCTACCCACCCCCCAAATGAAAGGCTTCTCTGAGGCTTACAGCCAGCATTACAAACAAGGAAGCTCCAGGGAGAAGGTTCCTATTTCAAAATCTCAGGAGCCCTGAGTTCAGAAAAATAAGCCACAAACTCTTAGAAAAATGTTAATGCCTTCTCTCTGGAGGAGCCGTTCTTAATCTAACTTTGACACTAGCCAACTTGACTAACGCAGTTCAGACAGGAGGGGCCCTAGATAGAACCCAGTTTTTTAGGGATACGCCAAGGTTACCAAGTTTGAGAACGATCACCTGGCAGTGCCCATGACTCTGGGCTCAAACAGTCTAAAAGGATTTCCTCGAGGCTGGAGCTGCTCAAGGGAACTCCGTCCTCAGACTCAGACTGTTCTTACACACCTGGCTGCTTGGAGGGCCTGGCCCCACCCAGTGAAATCCCACCGTGTGTCTGAGCATCCTGGTCTTTTGAACTGGCTCAAGGAGGACTGAGTGTGCCAGGAACAGTGAACCACAGGGCGATTAAATGACAGGGATTTGGTTAATGTGATAATGATCTGCTTTAATTATAACCCAGAGCAGGCCTGTTTTACTGGCTAAAAATAACCAGTTACAAAATGGTATCAGCTTGGGAAGCCCAGAGCTAGGGGAGAAGGCAGAGACTCCCTACTCATCTGTTACCCCAGTAAACCTATGTTCTTCCCCAAAACAAGACCTCCTTCACCATTTGCTCCTTCCACTTAGCCAGCACTTGCTCCTTACCCTTCTTTGCTCCCATCAGCTAATAATCCATCTGGAATTTCTACAAACAGGCTCTGGCTGGACAGGACTGCATCCCAGGAAGAGACCTTCACCTCGGTGACCTCATACTGGAAGTGGACGATGTGAGGTTTTCCATCGTTCACTGGGAGGTCCTGGGTCACAGTGAGCTTCTCGTCCTGGGAGGAGATCAGGTCAGAGGATCAGGTCACTACTGCGTCTGGCCGCATCATATACTCCCTAACCGACGTGGTGCTGGGTGTTCCTTGAGCCAATCTCAGAGCAGCACGGGCTCAAGGGCATGCTGAGAATGTACCGCTGCATGTAGCTAAATAGAGCCATCGCCAACTGAGCTCTAAGACCAGCTGATGGTGGCCAGAAGTCAGCGTGATGGGAAGGAAAATAGTTACCAAGTGTCCTACTGCCACATACTGTGCAAAGGGCCTTCCCATTTTTCAGTCACAACACACACTCGAGATCTCGCCACTGTCTCCTTAAATCTGAGACACTAGCAGCCCCGAACCCAAGGTCTGCACCAAGGCTACTGCGGCAGAGCAGATAATTCGTCCTCTCCCCTCCCTCTCTGAAAGGGAAACATTTGAAACAAAGGAGGATGCATGTGTGGGCTCAGCTGGGGCCCCTATCAACCTTCCAGGTGGGCTCTGGGGACCATGTGGGCTCCCCTGGGCACAATTTCAAGGAACCAGAACTCAGCTGCCCTGTTACCCTTCAATCCCAGTCTTGGGAGAAGCTAAACCAACTGTCTGGGCCTCAATCACAGCAGATTAAAAGGCAGCAAAGAGCCGGCTGCTCCAGCCCATTTCACTCTTGGGGCAGATTCCCTGGGTTCTCTAAGGCTGTGGCCCACGGTGTCGGGGGGAAGGCAGTTGTGACACACGGCGCCTCTCCTTACCGCATACCTCCACACCACCCTGTCCTGCCCATCGGGGTGGTAAGGGACAGACATCAGAAAGGCAAAGGGTCGAGGACAATAGACAAAATGCTCCTCCTGGCACTTCGTAGTTCTTGGGAGAACGTGAAAAGCAGCACCAGAAAGTGCTCGCACCTCCCACCCACTATTCTGCCCACTCGGCAACTGACACAGCACTGAAGTCCTGGCCATCGACCTGAGAGGATGGCAAGGCGTTTACTTGATGCTGACGTCCTCCTCCTTTTCCCCCAAAGCCACATACATAGGAGCCTCAGTTGAAAGGGTCCTTCCCAAAGGACCAAAGGGTCCTTTCCGGCCTGGCCTAAGAGTCAGAGATAAAGTGATTATTGCCCATAAGCTGTGGCTCAGTGGTGGCCGAGAAGGCTCTGTTCCACGCCTTCGCCCCAGAATCCTCCTTACCTTATATATTAGAGCTGAGAGAGAAGGATCCCTGCCGCCCCCTCGCCCACCGGGGATCTTCGACAGTGGGTGAGGGGCATCAGGAGCACCACAGAGGCCCCGGAACAATGTGCCTGCAGCACTGGAGCTGGGGACAGTTACTCAAAGGCAAAATACTACTGTAAAAAAACAGACAGGATGAGACAGTAAACACCAAGACTTAAGATTCAACTCTACATCCCACTCCAACCCCTGCCTTGGCTCTCCCTAAACAGCTCCTCTAAGCCTGCACCCCTGCAACAGTCCTTTTGGCTTCAGTTTCCAAAACTACTACTGTTCTCCTTTTTAAATTCTTTTAGTGAGGTAACACTGTCTATGAATTAGGGGTGTGGTCAGAATGGGGCCGGGAGACCCTGGAAGGAGGTACACATCCTGGGACCTGAGTAAGGAAACAAACAGTAAGATGGGTTACGAAGGGTGAAAGGCATTTCCCCTCCCCCGTCACCTCCCTTACTGGACACCATGATTTTGAGGTGGACCCAAAGGAGCGCCAAATTTGCTCCTCTCTCTTCTTAAATCCTATGTAGTGGCTCCTTAGGCCGAAATGTAGCTCACTCCACAGCCCGAGGACAGGTGAGGCAGGGAAGGAGGGGAACTGTCTGTGCATGTACCCCATGACTCAGCCACAGGCCTGTCCCGTGGCCCCAACACACCAGCCCCAGGGCAGCTGGAAGGCAGTGGTAGCATATATGGAGAATGTGGCAATAGCGTGCTGGAAGCCAGCTCACGCGACTGTCTCTTCCCAACTATGTTTTCAATGATGTCACGTAAGCAGTTTGAATCCGTCAGGAGGGGAGTATGCACATTACAGAAAGCAGCAAATGCTGTAAATCAAGGCCCTTTTACCCTGAAAGCCAGTTGTAAAATGTGAGGCACTAGTCTTCATACTGCCCTTTGCTGTAAAGCCAGCAGCAAGCCAGGGTGACAGAAGGCACACCTGGCATGGCAACGGAACAGCAACCAACGGACCAGTCCACCCACTTCGACCCTCACGACAAGGGGCCTGCATGCACAGTCCAGCTGAGCCACTAAGTTCAAACCATCACTGCTCGAGCTTGGCTCCTCCTCTTTCTCTCTCAAGGATTTCAACCAGGGGCCTGAAGCTACACTTGGAAATGTCACTGGGGAAGTGGAGTTCCTAGGGCAGTGTCACTGGGCCAAGAGCAGCATGGTCACCCCATGCCCCAGCGGCCTCTTCTGGGAAGCCTCGGGTATCCTCATTTTCCACACTTGCCTCATCAACAGCTACTACAGAAAAGGCGGAAGAGGTCTAACGGTACTGTTTTCAAGGGCAAGACTTCTCTTCTACTGGGGACAGTGGGCCATTAATGATCCCCACCCCCTCCAATGTTTTAAGAGACAGAATAATAGACCAGCAGAGCCAGGAGAAAAATAAGACAAGGATGGGGATGTCCCCAAGCCAAGGCATACATACGCCCCATTCCCTAGTGCCTGTGTGAAGGGTCCTGAAGGGCACCAGGCGGGCTGGGCCACTAGAGTGGCTGGCTTGAGGTATGTAGTGGCACTACCTCAAGAAGTAGACAAAGCACTTCTGGGTTAGACAGAGATAGAGCCTTGTTCACCAGAATTGCTTGGGTTCACAAAACAAGCACTTGTAGTATGAGAATTTTGGTGCTAATTCACTTAACTTCAGACTCCTACTTTCAGAGGAATTATTCCTCAGTGGCCTTTAGATGGGAAAGCTACACTCAACTCCTGATCCGCATCCAAGCCCCCATCTTGACTCTGAGCTTGCTTTTACTTGCAAATGGCAGCGGTAAAAGGCTGACCTGCTAAAAGATAAAAATAAAGTGGCTTTCTTTTTGTATGTCCAGAATCCCCTTTGTCTTCCTAGAAATAATCCCAGGGGCCTGCCCAGCATCCAGCACCAATCTATGAGCATATGATATTTCACTGCTCTTTAAATAAATGCAAGAAGTCTGTTCCATGGTAACAGATCATTACATCACTACACACACACACAAGATCCTGAAGGCTCTTGCCTCCTCCCCCACAAAATCAGCATGAGAAATTGTGTTGGGGAGGAGGGAGAGCAAGTAAGTGTGTTTCTCCCACCTTGGGCCCCAGTTCAAGTTTCCTAAGAAAAACAGTGGGGTTTGGAATAAACTCAGTGGATAACATCTCACAATCAATAATTCTCTTCATCATCCATCATCAGAATGGATCTATTTTTAGTTACAGGTAATGAATGGCGAATTGTTTCTCTTTCAGAAAACCTGACTGTCATTTCTAAAGCCAGAAGAGAGATGGGTACACAGGCATTAGTTGAACAAAAGGGGGGATGAAACTGCCCGATCATGGCGCCTTTTCTTGTGTTGGCTTTTGTGTTCAAAATAATATTATGGCAAGATATGCCACCAACCTCAATAGGACTGTGACTCCTGGAGGAAAAGTAGCTTCTAAACCCAACTCTCTGTGACAAGATCCAAACCAGGTTGGGTTTTATATTTAGTTCAAGTTGTTTCTACTGACCCAAGGGCCCAGCTTTTTCCATTTCTTCCTCACATCCTGTTCACTCCACTGGGGGACAGGCATCGTTTAATCACTACCACCATGAGGCTGATTTAAGCAGCTCAGTCTAGAGGTTGAAAAGATCAGGCTGATTAAGGAGAATCAAATATTTCAGATTGAATCCAAACATCCAGCTGGGCTGGTCCTGCTTTTGGAGAAGGAAAAAAACATACCACAAGGGGGTGTCAGGTATCCAGCATTCAAATCAATTGGGAAGAGAGAAGGGAGATCAGACTGATGTTAGTGCCTTTTATTGTCTCAGTTTATTACTGGACATGCCCTTGGAAACACTCCTCAGGATACATGAGTGCTGCTGACATATCACATCCTGCTGCCTCTAATTTGAAGCATTCTCTGAAACTGTTTTCTGAAATGTCCTTAAGCAGGTTATAATTTCATATACTGGCTCAAGACAGGCAATGGATGCAGCAGATGTATTCCCAGGGAATGTGGTTGGCAAATCAAATATTTAGAATTCAAATCCTATTTTTAAATCTCTAGGGTATTTACTATTTTGTAAGGAAGTAACCTTCAATCTCTTGATACAAGTAGAAGTTCTCCTGTTAAAGAACCACTTCCAGTGAACTATGTCAGTTTTGATTTTTATATTTAGTTCGCTCAAGCAGGATGTAGCCTGCTAGACAGTGTGATATAAAAGTAATTCTATGGCTGAGTTCCATTCGGCTAAATGTAACAACTACTTGAATTCATATTCTCTTTCATATACTTTTTGATCATGTTTCACTTGATTCCATGGCCTGAGCTTGCTCAAGTCTGCACCCTTTCTCTCTGGTTTCCATTACCTGCCAGAGGAGAGTGAGACGGCCTTGGGACTGTCTACCTGTGGTAGCAAGTGAAAAAACACAAAAATCACATTCCCAGCAGTCACCATTCATTCACCCCTTTGTAAACCTCTTCTGGCCCATTCCCGTCTCAGATGCAGCCTCACAGAACACTCTCTAGGGCGCCCTGACTTCCCTCACTGCAGACAGATTTTACTCTAGGAACATATGATGACTAATTGCCACCCAGAGGGACCAATCCAGGGCTGCCATCACACAGGGCTAAAAAGAAATAGAAGGAAAGGTGGAAGTGATGGCCACCCCCAGTCCAGAGTGACCACAGAGGCTGATTTTCTGCTGTAAGCTCCCTTTCCACATGAGAAAGGGGTCCTGGTCAGATGCCAGGCATAAGTCATTTCTCTAGGGTTGCCTGTGTGCCAAAGGGAGTCTACTTGTTAAGCATGATTATAAAGAAAATGACATCACCATTCTGAATCACAGACTGAAAGCCAAACTAGGTTTTGGTTAATTCTTCACAAGAAACACACTTAAGGTGGCAGCTAAAATATCTGTGCCTCTGAGGTTTGCTTATTATACAGCTGATAATGGCACCTTCCGATAAAGGCTATCAGAGGTAGCTGGATAGCTAATCACACTTTAAAATAAAACCTTAATTTTACATTTCAAGTACCTCAATCTAGTCTGTTTAGTAAGCGCATCCAGTCCCAGCCTCTCTTCCCAGGACAGAATTACTTCATTGTTTATATAGTATCAAAGGCCTAGGAAATGTTCCTATCTTATACAAAGGCTTATCTTACACAAAGGCTTTTATTCTGCTGCTGCTTCTGCTGCTGCTGGTGGTAGGAAACTACCTGTTTTGTTCAAGCAACAAAATTCTTGCTCACCTACTTAGCCATTCCTAGTCTATAGCTTTCAATTAGGCTTCACAGCCTTCCAAATCATGGCGCCAATTTGAATAAACACTGCATATATTTGAAGAAGAGTTGAAATACCTTTTTTTTTCTAGAAATGCACATATGTAACATCCCTCTACCCCACTCTTCAATCCCCTTTTTCACATTTCTAAGCAACTCTGAGACTAAAATTGGATTTTTTGGCAGAGTGAAGAATTACTATTATTAGGCCACGCTGCTTTCTGAAGCATACCTCCAATTTGGGGGGATTCCTGACTATACTAGGATTGTTTCTCTCTTCCCTTTTCTCTCTCCACCCTTCCCCCATGATTTTAAAGGCACATCACAGGAAAACTTGCTCTCCCTTACCATCCCACACTCAACTAGCCATAGTGCCAGTCAACAAGGAATAATCAAAACAAAATTCTTTGGGGGAAGACACACAAATTCCCATACCCAGGCAATCATTCCATGTAGATGCTCTGATGTATCCTGTACCCTGCCCACCATTCTCCCCAAAAATCTACCTGTAGTACCAAAGCTCATCTCACAGACTATTATAAAATTGCTATCAAGCCAGGGTGAGCTCTTCTCTGAATACTGTACTGTCACATGGCGTGAATCAAGCCCGAGACAGAAACTGTCTTCCGGCCCCCCACACATCCAGGACATAAAGGCCACAAAGTTTGATTTCCTTAAATTTAAACCTCATGTTCAAAACCCGTAATAAAAGTACTTAAATTTGTGTCTTCTTCCCTTCCCCACCATCAGGATATTTGACATTTTGGAAATACCAATCAGAACAAAACTGAAAAGGAAGAGCCTTGTTTTCAAAACATACTGCCGGCTCCTCTGCAACCATTTCTTCCAGGAAACCAAGCCTCCACCTCT